TTTTTTAAGTATCATGATGTTTTCTTTTTCATAGATTCAACGGAAAGAAATGGGAACAAACTATGCTTTTTTGTAACAGGCTGGTTGCAAAAAAGAGCTGTAAGATACAATTTAAAACTTATCTTAGAGGACTGTAATGTGCAGAACCAACTGTTACACTCACCCCTGACACTGAGTGAAACTGATTTCTGAAGCAAGATTTTTCTGTCCTTGTTGTAGACAGTACAGGTGTAGACTCCCCTGTCAGCAAGCTGGAGGTCTTTCAGGGTCAGACTGAGGTCTTTAGTTCGCAGTGGCTCCATGTTCATCTCTGTGCGACCTCTGTAAAACTGGTCTTGATCGTCTCTCTGGTTTTGGTCGCTCGGATACATGTAGACCATCATCTGTTTGGAGTCAGAGCGTCTCCACTCCACTGTGACATCCTGAGGAAGGTCATCTGTGGCTGTAAAGGAAAGCTTCACGTTCTTCTCCCAATCTGCTACCTCCACCATCTCCACCTGTCTATCTGAGAACATAAAGTGTACAGACAAACAGATGTCAGTGAGTTTGATCCTTCATCGTCATTGAATTTGCAGTAAAACCGACAAGGGCCCAAATACACAGCAGAAAACGGATGCTAATGATAGCTGGTTTATCACTAACTAAAGCAGTTAGTGGTAGTATATAGAGTATATAGTGGTTATCCCTCCATTCTCTTCCATGTCTGCTTCTATGTGGGGGCTAAGACATAAAAACAGAAAACCATTCACACTCACCTATGGGCAATTTATAATTGCCAGTAAACCGAACCCCACATACTGCAAGCCAGCATTCCCAGAAAGAACCCAAGCAAACACTTGAACTCAGGACCTTCTTGCTGTGAGGTACAGTGCTAATCCCTGTGCCACCTTGCCACCACCATACATAATGCTTAGTTCAAGTTATTAGGTCCTTAACAAAGTCCTTGTATTAGAAAGAAAACCTATATTTTTACTTCAAAACGCATGTTGCTAAAAAAATAGTTTTATATACATCTAAATAGATATTCCATTAAAATGAAGAACAGGCATTAATTATACAGTATTAATATTAATGAGAAGTATATCACATTTTAACTGTGATTTTCTTTCAAAATTAAACACTTTCCATACACACTCTTGTAAAGAGTGTAGGCTACAGGCCATTTTTAATCATCTCATCTTGCCTAATAAAACAATGTAAAAATGAATAGTAAAATCCGTATTTATTATATAAAATAAAAATTATCTAGAGCTAAAGTTTTGAAAATTCTTCTGTTTCTGTCCAACTTCAAACAGGTTCTTTGACTTCTCAGCAGCTTGATTTGGATCCGATTCGATGGTTTGTGACCATAGAAAACAGCTTTTCTGCTCACCTCTAACACTAAGCGTCACTACTTTCTGCCTCAGGAGTTTTTTACTCTTGTTACAGACGGTGCAGATGTAGACACCGTGATCAGTAACTTGGAGGTTATTCAGTTTCAGACTCAAGTCTCCAGTTCTCAGAGGCTCTTCATTCATCTCAGTGCGACCTCTATAAACCTGGTCCTGTAAGAGATGCTGGTTTTGGCTGTTCTGATACACGAATATCTTCCTGTCTTTGTGTTTCCACTCCACTGTGACATCATCAGGCAAGCAAACAGTGGTTTTAAAGGGCAGCCAGACAGAGTTCTCCCATTCTGTCACTTCCACCATATCCACCTGGAGAGCTGATAGAAAAAAGAAATTATTGCAGTTCTTCAACCTTTATCTAAAAAATCATAGAAAAACAAGTATCTTCAAAGACATGCTTTAATTTTACTGCCTTCTCTTATGCATCATACTTCCACAGGTACATCATCTAGACCAGCTGCCTTTACACACTTACTTACCTTCACCCCTCTTCTTCCTCTGATTTCTGCGGAACTTGCAGAAACCAAAGACAGCAGCAATAAGGAGAATCAAACTTATCAGGACACCTAAGATAACCTTTAGGTTTAAATCTCTTGGTGGAGGTTCTGAAATCAACACAAACATCAAAAGCCTGAACGTCACGCAACATAATTTTATAAATTCACTTGAATCTGAAGTCTACCTATAGCACTGACCTTTGACCATCAGTTCTACTTCAGTGCGCTTCTCATCTTGTCCATATTTGCGGACGATACAGGTGTAGTTTCCACTGTCGGAGACTGTGGGATTCCTAAGAGTGAGGCTGAGGTCTCCAGTCTGCAGGGCTTTGTCACTCATTATCGTTCGACTGAAGTAACGCTGGTTTTGATCTTTCAGATCATCTCCGGTATGCAGACGCATGTGGACTGTTGGGATCTTGAACTCATCACGGTCCCAGACCACTGCTGTGGAGCTTCTGGAAACATTAGCTGGTACCTGACAGGGCAACAGGACAGAATCCACCCCCACAAATACCTCCACTCCTGATGCATGAGATGAAACTGACAAGAGAAAGAGAGGATGTGGTCAGTGCCAGTTAATCTGAAACACCGATGTTCCAGATTAACTAGCATCTCAGATCAAGTGGCATTGTTGAACAGATGTGTGGCAAACTTGCTTTGAAGGAGCTGCTACCGACAAACCAGCAAATAAACACCAAATCTTTCATCTGTGACCTTTGTGAGGTTACGTCAAACACACTCTGTCAGTCTTGTTGCTGTTTACCAACAAAATGTTTAAAAATGTCGCGAGTTTACCTGGTGACATTCTCATGTACGAGGCTATCGCAAAAACAGCAAACAATTAACACCACGCCAATGTTGTTCATAGGACAGACAGGGAAAACGATTGGAAGAATCTTCATTATCGTTCCCCTCGTACTTTTATTACCCCGATTTCAGCACTTTCGCTTCATAACTAAAGTGTGTAGTTTACTTTGTGTGTACTCAGTGGTGTGTCCAGCGGGGTGGCCACACCCCAGCCAGACTGGCCACCCCGAAGCTAAAACAATAAAATTCAATCAACTATCAAATGTACGATTATGTTTTCTCAGTGAAGCTCATATATTCGAGTGTAACTGAATGCAGGATCGGCTTCTGAGGATCACGTTAGCAAAGGAAGGAGAAAGACGGCACTGCAGGAAACAATTCTTCGGTGAAAGAAAATGAGGACAGAATAAATGTCCCGGTAAGTAATATTAAGTTTGTTGAGTTTAGTAAACTTCGGTGAAATTAGAATACCAAGGAAAAAATAACACTTAAAGAATTATTGCAGCCGTGGAATATTTCAGACAGTATGCTACTGAGGGCAGCTAAC